CCATGGATCAACCAAGTGTGACAGTATATATAGTATATACAGTAACCCATAATTACCCACCTCAGCGAAGGAGAGAGGTACATTTTCTCATTTCATTCTGGCAGGGGCAGACAGGGGAAGCTTGGTTGATATAATCACAGAATTCAGTTTTTTCTTACTGTTCTTTCAATGTACATTGTTGTAGTTGTGTATATTTTCTTAGTTCTGCTTAATTCATTTTGCATCAGTTCCTTATGTCTTCCTGTGCTATTGGAATTCTTCATATTGTTTTTTGTGCAGTGGTACTCATTTAAATCTATGTATCATAATTTATCTAGTCCTCAATTAGTGAGCATCTGCTTTGTTTCCTGTACTTTACTATCATAAAAAGTGCTGCTGGGATTATTTTGGTATATGGGTCCTTTCTTCCTGTCTTTTACCCTCTTGCCTAGTAATGTGATTTCTGGGTCAAAAAGTATGGATCTTTTAATCACCTTTTTAAGCATAATTCCAAATGGCTTTCCAGAATGATTGGATCAATTCACATTTCCACCAACAATTTATTAGTGTGCCTATTTTTCCACAGCCCCTCCAACATTGACAATTCCCATCTTTTGTCATCTTTCCCATTTTGCTGGATGTTAAGTGAAACCCACGAGGCCTTTTCTGATTCCCTCCAGTGCCTCCTCCCACAAGTTGATTTTGCACATATTTTGTAAATACTTATATATGTACATTCTATCATTCTTGATAGGACATAGGCTCCTTGAAAGCCAAGGCTGTTTCATTTTTGTCTTTGTATCCCATAGTGCCTGGTACATAGCAGGGCCTTAATAACTATGTGTTGAAGCATGGCCCCAAAGAAGGGATATAAAAAGACACCACTACCCCACTCCTTTACAGAGCTCGGAGGTACATAGGTGTTATGCACTGCTTATATTTTCAGATATTTTTGATGCATTGATTAGTTTTTGCTGGTTTTTTCCTCTTTTTTGTTATATGGGATGAGTCTCTGGGAGGAAGGGATATTGAGAAAAATTTTGGAGATCTAAAAGCAATATATTAATATTTCATTTGAAAAAGCAAAAGCCCTTTATAACTTGGTTTCTCCTACCTTTCCAGTCTTCTTAAACCTTACCCCTCACCAGATACTCTGTGATGCAATAATTCTGGCCCCCTTGCTGTTCCTCACACAAGACACCCAGTCTACTCCTGACATTGGACAGTTTTTTTCATTGGGCGTCCTCCATGCCTGCAATTTTCTCTTTCATCTTCTTCTCCTGTCTTCCTTCAAGTCTCACTTAAAGTCCTACCTTCTGCAAGAAGCCTTTCCTGATCTCCCTTAGTGCTAGTATCTCCTCTCTGTTAATTATTTCCAATTTATCTTGTCTATATCTTGTTCGTACACTTGTTTGCTTGCTGTTTCCATTAGACTGTGAGCTCCTGGAGAGCAGAGACTGGGGTTTTTTTGCTCTTTTTCTTTTTTTTGTATCCTTGGAGCTTAGCACAGTGCCTGGCCTATAGTTGTTGCTTAACAAATGCTTGTTGCCTCGGGGGACTTCAACCATATAGACTCAGAAAGATGAGTCTTCCTGACTTCAGGCCATACTGTCCTGATTTCCTTCCCCCCCTACCCCCCCCACAAAAAAAAAAAAGGTAGAAAGTGGAGAGGATAAACTATAGGCCAGTGGACTTGGCTGTGATTTTTGGTTGTTTGGTTAGTGAACATTTAGAAAAGGAAGTGATCACCATTGGCTTAAGAACAGGTCATTCCAGCCTCATCTAATTTCCTTTTTAAACAGGGTTACTAGACTAGTAGATCAGAGGAATTCTAAATATATACACACAAACATATACATACTTATACACACATATATGCATTACACACATACATATATATCATACCTAGATTTCAGTGAAGCATTTCAGTCTCTTCTTTGGGGGAGAATATAATTTAGAGGATTATACAGTTAGGTGGATTCAGAAACAACCAAAAGAATCATAATGCCTGACCCCACGTCACCTTGGAGGGAAATTCCTCGTGGATCTTACCTTAGTTTTTTCTTACTCAACTTTATAAAAACAACCAACTCTCCCCCCCCCCCCCCGTATTTGAAGCTATAGATGTTACATCTGCAGATAACAGGATACTAGGAGAGGTAGTTAACATGTAGAATGACAGTGTGAGGATCCAAACATTTATTGAATTTGAATCTTGACAGGCTAGAACAATGGGCCAGACTTAATAAGAAATTATATGGAAATGTGTAAAGCCCTACACCTGGATTCTCAAAATCAGCTCCAGAAATTCAAGATGGGGGAGGTAGGGTTAGACGATAGTTTGTATGGAAAAAAAAGAAGGGCCTTGGAGGATGTACTTGACTGCAAGTTCAACATTTGTCAAACGTGAGGCTCAGCAGCTCCAAAAGCTAACACGATATAAGCCCTCATTAAAAGAAAGCGTTCAATACACAGGTGATGAGAGTCCTGCTGTGCTCATTTAAAAAAAATTGTTTTTTTTCCCCAGTTACACGTAAAGACAATTTTTAACATTTTTTTAAATGGTTCTGCTCTAATTCTTTATTTGGAACTTCCCTTTTATTTCCAGGTAGAGAGCCTTTGCAAAGGCTTGGAGGTGGGAATTAAGAGAATAACTTGGGGAAAGCTGCCTGGAGAAAGTGGTATTTGAATTGAGTTTTAGAAGGTGGTATTCCAAAAATAAGGAGCAGCCCAAGGAAAGATTTGAAGTAGGAAGATGTAGGGGCACATCAAAGAGGGCAGAGTGTCTCTTTTGTTTGGAGGGTGGAAGGGAATAAAAAGCCATAAGGAGAGAGGTAGTGGAGCCCCATTTTTCAGAGGGTATGGAGTATTGCATATGATTTCAGATTTTTTTTTTCCATGTGTTGGAACACACCCTCTATTTACCTTCCCTCATTTAGAATCCCATTTGTCAAAGATGACCCCAGGGGCCACCATCTCCATGCTGCTTTCTTTGATCTCCTTAAGGGTTAACCTCCTTTGCCTTCGGCACTTTGTATAGACTTACCTGCACTGCCCTCCAGAATAGAATGTAAGTGTTTTTGTCCTCCTCCCCTCAGCACTTGGCACGCCATAGACAATGAATCGGTCCTTTGCTTGATGACAACCTTCTCCCAAGATCTCACACAGGATTGTACTATGATCCCTGTATGTATCTTGTAATATTGTGTCTTATCTGTCTTACTTCCTGCCTCTTAGAAGCCTGGGTGCTCCATGAGGGCAGGCATTGGTGTCATTTCCTGCCACCCCCAGAGCAAAGTGTGTTCCACGCCAATAGGTTTTCACGTTTTTCTAATTCAACTTACAGAATTTATTTTTTCTAACACTCTTGCCTTTGATGGAAACATCAAACCACTTTTTTTTTTCCGAGGTGGGGGGAGGACACTGAGTACACCTGCCTGATATTATCTTTTTGTGTGTGTTCGAGTCTTGAAGGCAGACCATCTTTGCTCTCTACCCCCAGCTACCAGGGCCTTCTAAGCAGGCTCAGCAGAGTGAGGACAGACCCACAGCTTCCTCCCTCCTCTTTGCTCACCTTGTTTTCTTCTCCATCAAATCCAAACTGTATCCATGTCCAAACCAAGCACCACTTCTTGGAAAAACTCAGTACTTCACCAAGCAGAACACCATTTGGTTGAATATGCAAGCTTGAGAAACTTTTTATTAAAAGAGGAAATAAAAGTGAACTGTCTCTTGGTGTGTGGGATGAAGATAGTTTGTATGTACCTGGCAGACTAGGGAAATGATCCAGAGAAGCAGATCTTAAGGATGAGGACAGAGTAAGGAGATCAAGGGGGCGTATTTTTGAGAATGTCTAATAACCCTTCTTCCTCTCCCAGCTCCTGCAAGTCTAGGACCTGGGTGCTAGGGTCCATCAGAAACTCTAAGAAACTCGGAGCCAGAAGGAACCTTAGACCATAATGTTAGAGCTGGAAAGGTCTGTAGTTATTTTACCTTCAGGCTTGCTTCCTCATCTTGAAATGAAGGATTTGGATGAGATGATCTCTAAGGTCCCTTCTGGCTCCCCAATTCGTAGTGAACATAGCTAGCTCCCAGAGCTGAGAAGAAACTTAGGAGCACAGAATGTCAGAGTTAGGAAGCCCTTTGGAGACTGTTTCAGTCCAACTCTCTTTTTATAGATGAGGACATGAGATTCTTGAGTTCCCACTCCCTTTCCTCCACTGCAGTTTCCTGGTCCCTGACAGAACTGGTATTCCGAACTAGAATTTTAGCTCCAAACGGGCTATTTTGCGGGGGCGGGGGGAAAAGAGGAAGAAGAAAAAGGAATATGGTCGTGTCTGGGGCACTGAATCTTATTTCCTCCTAGACAACCCCAGTCTAATCCTCTTATGGCAGATCACAGATCACAGGAAGGGAACAAGTTAAACTGCCTCACTTACAAGGGATCACAAGAAGAGACCTAGTGAGGGCTCCAAAGAAGTCAGGTGGAACTAGCCAATCTTAAGGCACAGAACTGTGATAATGCTGTTAGAAGTGGCCCATTAAAATGAGATGTTTAACAGGGCAGCAGCCTCTGAGGACCTTCCTGGGCCTCGGTGGCTATCAGCCCTGATGGACAGGAGTGGTTGATCCCAAGGGCCCCCCCATTCCAGGTCCCTTCCTACATCTACTGCCACCCCACCAGGCTCAGAATGAGGGAGATCAAGGGTAAGACCAAGGGCAGAGGCTACATCCTGACATCTAATGTCACTCAACCACAGAGGTGGCATCATGGCCACTCTATACCTGAGCTGGATTTCTTTCTAAAACATCCCTGACAAGTGATCATCCAGATGCTGCTTGATGACTTCTAGTGACGGGGAACTCACAAGCTCCCCAGGCCCTTGCTCTACTTTTGGACAGCTCTAATTATTACAGAAGTTCTTCCATACATGGAGACTGAATCTGCCTCTGTAGCTTCCCCACCAATGTACCTGGTTCTGCCCTCTGGGCTCAGGCTGGATGTGAGACACAACACACCATGGAGACAAATGGAATATATTAATATTTACACAGGCGGGGCACGATGCTGGGGGACGGGGAAAAGAAAAATAAGATCAAACTGGGTCAGCAGGAGGGAGGGGCAGCAGGCCGGAAGCCACACAGCCCACCATTTAGTCCCTGGGGCTACAAAGGGTCTGCATGGTCAAGAGGTGGCGGGTCAGCAGACATGGGGGGTGGGGCAGAATCTAATCCTGAGGGGGTGAATGGGCTGTGGCTGTGCTCCTGCCAAATCTGTCTGTAAAAGTTAAAACAGAAAACTGGGAGGACATGTTGATGGGCTCGAGGCAAACGGGACTATGTGCTTGAGAAGACAGAGGAAATCAGCAGCACTCACTGAGTCCAGAACAGCCATGGCAGCTGTGGGAGTCCTGAGATGGCACCCTGGTACTGCCCACTGGCCTCTGGGAAGGGCCTGGAGGGCTATCTTGAGCCAAGACCCCAGTGCAGATCTGGCTCAACTCCCTGGGGAGGGGAAGGTGCAGAGACTAGATTCAGAATCCAATTGGGCTGCCAGACACTTACTGTTCTGCTGCCTCTCAGAGAGGTTCAGGCAGCTATTTTAAGGTGCTGGGTGTCCTGGACTCCAAAGGAGTCATCTAGTCATTTCCTTCGCCCTAGCAGGGCTTTCTCCTAATTGGCTGCAGGGCCCTTTCTCCTTCACAGCATTACAGGGCACCACTCCTTGCCTCTGAACCAAGCTGATTTGCTTGTCAGGTCTGTATCCCCACAAAGATTTCCCAAGAAGAAAGAGGCAACACCAAAGTCAATCACACTCCATCCCACCCCCTAAAGATCCACTCAAGATGCCATGTGACCTGAGGACAGGTGGTTGTGTACCCGATGGATCAGGGGGCCAACGCTCAGTACATGGAAAAAGCAAAGTGAGTCAGCTGGACATGGGCAGGGACACAGGCACACAGGCTTGAAGGAGTGGGTGCCTACAAGAGCAAGGTGGAGGGAGGTATTGAATCAGAGCACCAATCTGGTTCTGCCCTTCACCCAGGCTTGCTAACTATCAGCAATACCTTAACACAAAGCTAAGGTTCCTCTGAGATTTTTCCCTGCAAGGGGAGACAGGGTGCTGGTCTGAGCGGGATATGCAAACCTGAGAGCCAGGAATGCACAGTAAGGCAGACATAGGTAGCAAAGTGAGTGCATGTGCCAGGAAGAAGGACGGTGGGGACAGTGGCAGGGGAAGGGAAGGGGCCCTCTTCAATGCATCTCTTATGACTGGGTCACAAACAGCTCCTGTGGTCGGTAGGAAGATCAGAGTTGAGAGGGGACACTCTTGACCATCGGAAAGTAAGACCCCGCTTTGCTGGGGGTGCTAGGACATCCTGGGAAATGGCAAGGGAAGGGAGGAGATACAGAAATGAGGGCAAAGCTTCCTGCTGAGACATGAGGGGAACTGGTCCCACTATCTTCCCTGGAGCCAGGGAGGGAGAGGACACAAACAAGTCTAAGGGCTTTCGAGCTGCAGAGTTCTTTATCTTGGGGAATACCCAAACCCCAGAGATGGCTTCAGAGCAGATTCAGCCAGATTCCCCCGTCTGGAGGGAGAGGCCTGGCTTCAGGGTGAGGAGTCAAGGACCTCTTAAATGGCATGGATGACCATGCCCCTCAGGGATGCCACGCCTGTACAGAGAGGAAAGGGGCCTCAGTGGGGGCAGAGAAGGACCGGGGCTCCCCGCTCTCACCTCTAGTCCCTGAACCATTCTGGACTTCCAAGAGGAGGGCCTAGGGGGAAGGGAGTCAGCAGACAGGATTCAGATATACCCACTGACTCAGCCCATTTCCCAGGTAAGCCAAACTAACTAGTTCCGAAGATGCTCTACAGCTGACAATTAAGGGTGAAATCTCAAAATTCTGGACAGAGGAACTCCTCCCTCAATCTCTGCTGCCCAGGTCTCAGTCCTGAAGGAAGGGCTGGGGCTGGGGCTGGGACAGAGACAGGGACAGGGGGCACATTTCTCACTTCACAACTTCCGAATCTTCTCGGCCACAATGATGGGGTTCTCCTTGCGGATCTTCTCAGCGGCCTCAGCCTTGTAGTCAAAGGGACAACTGTGCTTTTCTGAGTATCGGTGCACGGCACAAAACAGATTTCCACAGCGGCAGTCAAAGCCTGGGCAGGGAAGAAGAGGACAAGCTGGCAATCAATCTGATCCAATTCAAATCTAACCTGAACTATGATCATAGGATTCAGAGGGGAAGGCACGTCAGACACCAGGATACCTGACGCCCTCACAAGAGAAGAGGAAACTGAGACACAGAGGGAGGATGGCATTTGACCCGGATCATATGCTTATACGTAAATATCAGGGCTGTGACTCAAGCCTAGACCCTCAAAGGCCCAGGGGATAGTGTTGTACCTGGAGTCAGGGAGACCTGAGTTCAAACCCATCTTCAAAAAGTGATTAGCTATGGGACCCTGGGCAAGTCACTTAACCTTTTTTTGCCTCAGTTTCCCCAACTGTAAAATGGAGATAATAGTAGTACCTACCTCCCAGGATTGTTATGGGGTTGAGATAATATTTGTAAAGTACTTTGCAAACCTTAAAGTGCTATAGAAATGTTAGTTATTATCATTATTATTAAAATCAGTTTTGGGTGGCCGATAATAGAGAAATAGGCTCTTTCCTGTGATCCCCTTCAAGGGGGGATCTCTAGGGAACTCTAGATGCAAGCTGGGCCCACAGTTACCAATGACGCTGGGCTTGAGGCTGTAGCACCACAAATCCCATGGGGACCTTTACGTAGACTGTGCCTGTGGTGATTTAGGGCATCTGACATATCCCATAAACACAGGGACCAAGGTAGGGCAGCTGATTCATGCCATAAATAAGGGCAGATGTCCCTGATCAAGCCTAATGGAATAGGTTCCCTATCAGACAATGGACCCTTCTTTCCAGCTTCTTAAGCTAAGCTGTGTCTGCTGAAAATTCCCCTAAATTTCAAGAACAGGAATGTACTGGGCAAGTCCTAATAACAAAGTCAATTCAATTCAAGGAAGACTTAGTGTCTCCTATGAGCGCTGTGAGCCTAGTCAGGCTGGGCAGGGCCTTGCCTGGAGTCCCTTCATCCCACTTACAGTCCTGGGCAGGCCCCCCATACATACTCCAATGGAAGCCCCAGCTGACCCCCAGCCCAACCAAGGAAGAGCAGGGAGCATCACACAGGCAGATGCCCAGGGGCTCATCACCTCAAACCTCCTCCCAGGCCCACAGACAGTGGCATCATTTGAATCCAGCACTATGGACACAGAGACAACTTCTGTGCCTCCAGATTCTCTCTCAGGTCTGTCACAGGGTAGCCAAGGATTCGGAGCTAGAAAGGACCCATTCTTCCCAACAACCTTGTGGAGAAGGGATTATCAGATTTAATTTGTAGGGGATGATTTGGAGCGCTGGGGGAGACCCCAAGATGTAGGGGGGATGACCTTGCCCAAGGTTACACCTACAGTGTCAGCACCAGAACCGGAGCCTCGGGCTCCTGCCTGAAGCACTGCCCTGCACTGTGCTGCCTCTCAGTGTAGACAGAACATAGAGAGTCGGGACCAATGGCATGGTAGACTGTGCAGTCCAAGCCTTTTAATTTACAGATAAACAGAGACCCCCAAAGGATAACTGATTTGCTCAAGATTTCACAATGAGGGGATGGGGGAGGAAGAGGCTTCCAAGCAAACAGTGGATAGCTGTAGTCTTACTTCCTGCTTGGGGGAACTTCTGCCCTGCTCCTCTGCCCTCCCAGATGCACTATAATAACAGCAACTCACATTTGTAGTGTGTTTGAATTTTACAAGACACTTTCTTCACAGCAATACCTGGAGGCAGCGAGCACATTATGATACCTGCTGTATAGATGAGAAAATTGAGGCACAGAAATAGTAAGTGACTTGCCCAAGGTCACATATTTATTCACTGAGGGAGGCAAAATTTGATCCAGGTTTCTGGACCCCAAGCTCAGCTGTGTTTCCACACCACCAAGCTATCTTCCTCTTAACAATAATAATACTAGTAACCTGATTCTATAGTGCTTTAAGTCTACAAAGTACTTTTCCTCATAACAACCTTGTGAGGAAGGGAACACAGATCTCATCCGAAGCTTGCAGATGAAGAAGGCAAGATGCAGAGAGGCTGTGACTGGCCCACAGCCACCCAGATGGCAAGTGATGGAGCTGAGACTGAAGCCAGGTCCTCCTGGTCCTCCCGTCCCTTTCCCCTCCATCCCTACACTAAGGGGTAGAAGGTGCGGCTTGGACGTGGAGGGCACTCTGCCTTTTTTTCTTAGTTTGCGAGGAGGCTGCCCTGAGCAGGGCTCCTCCAGCATCTCAGCACGCTCAACAAAGAACAGAGGTGAAATCAACTTCCAGAAGCTCCATTCCATTTCTACCTGCTGAAAATGAGAGAGAAAACCCCAGGCCAGAAGTAGGTTAGTGACAAGGTGCTCGTGGGTGATTTTAGGAAGTACTTGACAGGAGTCCCTGGCGGAGTGCAGGGGCTCCCAGAATAGAACTGCACCTCGGTCTCCTAGGAGCGCTGAGGAGCTCACTGGCTCTTCCTGGGGGTGGGGAGCTGCCTGCTGGAGGCGGAGAACAGGAGACAACTGGAGCCCAGAGAATGGATGCTCCATGCTCCAAGATGCCTAGACAGCACAAGTGGGAAAGAGTCAGGCTCAGCACACAGCCCTCAGCTCCTTCTCCAACACCTAAGCCTGACTCTGTCTCCATCAGGGGTGCCCCTGCTTGGAGCCCCATATTTGTTTTTTTGGGTTTTTTTGTATTTTTTTGGTTGGGCAATGGGGGTTAAGTGACTTGCCCAGGGTCACACAGCTAGTGAGTGTCATGTGTCTGAGGCCAGATTTGAACTCAGGTCCTCCTGACTCCAGGGCCAGTGCTGTATCCACTCTGCCATCTAGCTGCCCCCATAATGGTTTTTTGGGTTTTTTTTGTTTTTGCTGGAGCCCCATCTTTGGAATTCTTTCCCTCTTCTCTGTCTCCCTCCCTGGTTTCCTTCCTCCCACGAGAAGTCTTTCCCAATCCCATTAACGCTAATGCCTCCCCTCTACTGCCAGCTTCAGTTTCTCCTCTCTGTAGCTTGTCTGTACAAGGCAGTTGCTTGCATGCGGTCTCTCCCATCTGACTGTGAGCTCCCTCAGAACGGGGGGGCTGTCTTCTGCCTTTCTCTGTGTGCCCGCCCAGGGTTTACCACAGCTTCTGGCATACGGCTGCCACTTAATCACTGCTTGCTGACTGAGTGACCAGCGCCCACGTAGGGAGCCTGGGCATTAGCTTTGCCACTTCCCTCTGCCTCCAACCCTCAGACTGCTGGTCTTCCCCTGTGTCCCCATCCCCCCCAAGCTGCCTTCTCAGGCATGCATCTGGTCACGTCCCGCCTCCACTCAGCAAAGTGTCTAGAGGCTCCCCTCTGCTTTCCAAGTGCACCTCCAATTCCTCTGCCTCGAACTCAAGGTTCTCCCCAACCTGACGCCACGCTCCTTGATCTGACCTTCCATTACTTTTCTCTCTGTGCCTGGAAAGCACCTCCTTCTCCACCTTCTCCTGGAATATTCCTATCCACTCTTTGAAGCCTCACTCAGACCCCAGGCCCTCTATGAAGTCTTCTCCTAGAGCTCCCTCTCTGCTAAAAGCAAAGCAGCTGATTGTTCTTGCCTTAATTGATCTGAACTTGCCTTAAAAATAATTTTATCTTTTAAAAGATGGAGAAAGCAATGAAGGAAAATGCTATTTTAGATCTGATTGTCACCTTCAAGGAAAAACTGGGGTGGGAAAAATGGGAATCTTGGCAGGAAATGACCATTCCAAAAGCAGAACAAAGACAAGAATCGTTCAGACTTGTGCCCTTGACTGTGGGCTGGACCCTTCAGAAGGCTTGGAGAGAGGAGAGGCAGGAGGGCTGGAAAGCTCAACTGTAGGCAAAGAAAGGCGGAAAGAGGGGACCAGTGGGGTGCACAGGAAGCAAGAGCAGGGAAGGAAGGATACAGAAGCGCTAGTCCTGCACAGGGTCAGAGGCGATAAGGTGCAAGAGAAAAGGAGGCTGGTGGTGAAATCTAAGGAAAACAAAAAGGTTTTATAAAGAAGCTGGTCTGGCCAGTGCTCGGGATAGAAGGGACCATGTAAAGGAACCAAAAAGGAAAGGCAGAACACCCCAAGGAGAACTGTCTTTGGCCTGGGAAGGACAAACTAAAACTGGCTCACAGAGAAGTGAGATTCCAAGAACTCCAAGATGTGATCTGGGAGAATGGGAAAAGGGCAAATTCGGTATCCAAATTTCCAAAAAAGGAAAACAGTGGAGTCTGCAAATTCTAGATCAGTAAACGTGAATTTAATTCCTGGAACAATTCTACAATATGCTAACGTGAACATGCAAAAAAAAAAAAAAGAAGCAGTAATCACTAAGGCCCCCTAGATAAAAGTTTTATCAGAAACAGATCCTGCCTGGCGAATTCATCGTCATCTTCCAAAAGGGTCACTAGACTACTCTATTTGGCATATATGGTTTACACAGATTTTTAGCAAAACGTTTTACCAAAGTTAGAGATACAGGCTAGACTAAAGCACAGCTGGGAGGGTTAGGTCTGGCAGCCCTTAACCGATCTGTGTCCTCTCTGGAAGCCTCTTGTAAAGTACCCCAGGGATCTGCACTTCGCTCTGTGCTTTACATTTTATCAACATTTTGGATAAAAGGATAGAGATGGGATAGGATAGGAAGGGACAGATGACGCGACGGATGACACTCAGATGAAAGAAGGATAATGATGAAGTCTCAAACTGAGGTTCAAAAAATCAATTTCTTAAGTACAAGATGAAGGATGATGGTTCCTGATGTTCTTGACATGCGCTGGAAGGGGTCCTGCACGTGCAGACTACAGTCAATCCTAGGGCTCTGGAAGCACAAAAGCACACACGTGCATACACACACATACACACACACAAAGACACAGACAGGTGCCTGCCCCCAAACTCTGGACATCTCTTCTTAGCTCCCACAAAGACTCACAAATACAGGGAGGAGTCAATCAGTCCTGAAGCTCCTGAAGTTTCAGGTGAGTTGGCCTATAAAAGCCCTTTAGAGGGTCTAAGAATCTATGGTAAGTCACCCTTCCAGACCAAAGGGCACGTATTTGAGAAACATCAGTGCTGATGCTTCACCAGACAGTGGCCACTCTCTAAGCTCAAACGTGACCAGAAGCCACCCCTCCTGAAGCCGAACGACTCCTTCAGCCCTGCAACAGAGAGGCCTCAACAATCCTGAATAACTGAGACACAGGACGGGCTGCTCCTACCTGTGCTTGTTGGGCTTCCAGCCCCAGCTTTTCCTTCCCTCCACTCTAGAGACACTTTTGAATGCACTGTGAAGCATGGAGTACTAACAAGGAAGAGCACTGGATCTGAACCATGCCCCTTCCCCTCACTAGCTGTGTGACCTTGGACAAGTCCCTTCCCCTCTCTGGACCTCAAGTTCCCTCACTCATCAAGGAGGGGGGTTGTTCCAGATGATCTCTAAGGTGCCTCCCAGTCCTAAGATTTAGACCTCAGCCTTTCCATGGCTTTGTGCCTAACTCTCCCAGCACCAAGGACAGAGGTCTGCACACAGTCCTGCAGGGACTCTGCCCAGGGCCTCCTGCTCGTACCTGTCAGACCCACTTTTTTCCGACAAGCAAAGCAGCGGTTCTTTTTCGGTTTGGGTTTCTCAGATGACTTCTCTTCCTCAGAGGAGCTCTGAGACGTCTCGAGAAGAGAACCTGGAGGAGAAAAGACATGCGCAGAGTAAGGCCAAATAAGAAGACTGATTCCCAAGAAGCACACCAGAAGCCGGGTAAGCAGTGGGTGGTCCTGTCTCACTAAGCTGTGTCATTAAGCTCCAGGTAAGTGTGGGCTCATTTCAAGGATGTGGCTGTTAGCCATGACAAGCCAGATCTGGATTCCTCTTAGGAACTAGACTTTATCACCGAGGCCTACACTTGGGAATGTTAATAACTGGGGGCAATCTTCATGCTTTAGGGGCAAATTTGATTTTGGAAAGAACTGAATTCCTAGAGAATGGCAGGGCTCTTGATCTTTTAAATGTCATGGACCCTTGGGAAATCTGGTGAATTCTAATAATATTGTGGTTTGCTGCCTATATTTATACTCAAAAGAAATCCTATATTTCAATTAGAGGTTAGTGAAAATAAAGATGTAAATTTTTTTCTATTCAAGTTCATGGACCTCCTGAAATCTTTTAAGGGGTCCATGGACCCCAGGTTAAGAACCCCCAATTTAGAATAAAGTCTGGTGAATATGGTAAGGGAAATGAGTTAGAAAATATCATGTGGGTGTCAAAAATGAGATATGACTATAAAGTAATGATATCAATACATTTTCCCCCCAAAAGATGTCTTCAGTACTTCACTGTGTCATGGAAATGACTCTGGGCTCTCAGTGGCAGTGCCAGACAAACACAGACAGACTCTACCAAACTATGAATGCTGCGACTATAGGCCTAGAGATGGGCTGTTCCAATCAAGTCAACCTAACAAGCATCTATTAAGTGCTTACACTGTGCAAAACAAAAAACAGCTCCTGCTCTGAAGGAGCTTACAGACTCTACTGGGGGAATACAAGAATGTAAACAGGTAAGGCTGGAGAATGACAACGTACTGGCCCAAAACTAGACTAACCAGATTTAGAGTAGCTCATCTCCAGAAGTTTAGATACTAAGGCATCAATTTTTGGAGGACGGGGTGGGAGTGTACAAAAACTAATGAAGACCACCTATTAAGGCATTAGTTAAGATGACAGTTAAGGTGACAGTTAAGAGGGACTGTGGTCATTGGATTGTAGCTTCTGAGCTGGAAGACACCAGTGAGGTGGTGTTAACCGTCTCTTTTTATATATTCAGAAACCAAGACCCAGAGAGGGTTAGTGACATGCCCACAGTCTTAGAGGCAATAAGGGACAGACCCAGAATTTGAACCTTTGTCCCCTAACTCTATATCTGACATTCTGCCCATGAGATCATGCAGCCACCCTTCCTCAGTAAAACAAGATCTATAACTAGTGAAATCATGGATCCTAAAGTACTGAAAACTAAGTCCTAATTTTCCCCAGAAAGCAGTATTCATCTATTGATTATTTATACATGGGGCCTTCTAGAGACAACATGCTCACCTTAGTCAGCTAATCCAGATAAAGGCTGGGGTTTCGGTCTGAGCAGGGGGAAAGAGTGGTATCCTGGCAGGGCCACTGAAGCACTGTCAGAGGCCCTGGAGGGGCCCCGCGGCCCACTCTGCTATGCCTTTGAACTCCAAGTCCAGTGCTCTTCCTACAATTCCACACTGCCTTGTGTTTCATTAGGAAGAAAATGAGTTGCTACCCACCACCTACCTTAAAGTTGGGCAATCAGGTCCAGGACTGGATCATTTGCTAACTGGGTTCAGCTCTTGCAAACACAAGATTCCACTTTGGAAAATCTGTGCTAATGTCTGCCACGGACAGTGTCCATAGAGGCCCCCTATTCTTGCTGGCTGCATCAAAAGTTACTTCAGAATCAATAGCTAATCCCCCTCCCCCGGTGATGCTATGTCTGATGATTTTGGGAATTCACTTTGCAATGGAACACATTTTCATACACAGTCACTGAATCATCTAGATCATAGAAGCTCCTTTGGAAGGGAATCAGAAAGTCGTGTATCTGTCCAGTTTTACTGCCCCTGGTAAGGGGAAGAAAGAAGTCCCCTTACAACATCCCTGACATGAACACTCAGCCTCACTGTGCCTCAAATCCTGAAGCCGCTGCTCTAGGCAGGGCAGCCTGAGGGGCTGGGTAGATAGAGATAAAAACAAACAGTCCCCAATCATGGGCCTTCCATTATGCTACCCTGTACTCAATGATCTCCAATGATGGCTAGTTCATTATCTTTTAAGGTACACCAGGCAAACTTTCTTCTGTCTTTGTGCTTTGAAGCAGAGTCTGAAGATCGTACAGTACTTTATTTTGTCCTGGAAGTTTTGCAAGGGCCTTTGATCAATCTCACCAAGTCCCACAGAGTCATCACAGAACATGTGAATGAGAAGGGACCCTACCACGGTGGCTATCATCCCAAAAGAATTCCCACAATTGCATGCACCTAACATTCATCCTCTGCCTGGAGAGCTCCAATAAAGGCCCACCTTGTCTTGAGGCAGTCCATTCCACTTTGGGACAGCACTAATGGTGAGATGGTTTACGCTGACGTCAAACCTTAATTGCCCTTTTTTGCAGCTTTGACCCTTTACTCCTGGTTCTGCCGTCTTCAGTCAAACAATACAAGTCTAATCCCTCTTCTGCACAACAACAGCCCTTTGAATATCTGAAGATCCCCACCATACAGTAGTCATTCATCCCATAAGCTCCTACTACGTGCGAGGTACCAGGAGGAGGATGCAGGATACAGTGGGAAGAGATGAGCTGGGAGGCTGAGGGCCCTCAGCAAGGCATTTATCCTCTGGGTCACAGCCTCCCCGTTCTCCCATCTGTCAAATGAGGTTCAGTGGGAACTATATGGGAATAGGCACCAGGCGCTCCACTTTCTAGTCCCGTCTTACTAGCAGTGTGACCACGGACGTGCTGCATTGCCTTTCGGGCCTAAATTTTCCCGGTGGTAAAACGAGCCGGCTGGCCTGGATGATTTCCAAATGCTACAGCCCACGACTCCGTGTTTGGAGGCCTGCCAGCCCCTGGGCATTACAAGGCCTCCAACCGTCTCCCTTCTGCCCATTACCTGCTGAGGGAGTCGGGGAGAGCGCCTCGTCTGCCTGGACACAGTTGCCTGTCTGGCTGTGGATGTCGTCCTTTGATATGCTCATAGCTGTCATCTGGCGGGTCACAGGAGTCTGAGCGCTCGATCTGGGGGCCCATCAGGACAGCACACGTCAGAGAACGGGGAAGAGAGATGATCAGCAAGTATGGAAGGTGATGGAGAATAACAGTGCCTCGTCACTGGGAAAGGCAGGGGTGGGGATGTGGGGCCAAGGGGAACACAGGGATGGGACACCCAGGAGGACTGCCCTTACCTGGCTAAGACATCATCAGGTGTAGCATCTGCCTCCTCTGCACGTGCTGCAGGGAAAGTCTCCAGAGCAGCAGGACTGGGGCTGCTGGCTACTGTAGAGAAAACACAATCAGGCCCCGGAGGGTCATGTTGGTTTGCAAGTTTGGCCTAGGTCTCATTATATTTCAGCCCCGGAGAACTCGAAGGTGGAAGAGAGGTGGCTGGCCCTATTGGACCCTTCCAGGTGCTCAGCACTATACTGGAAACTGCAGGCGCTGCAAGAATATTAGTCTTGATCTCTGCCCTCTAAGAGCTTCCGGTCAGGTTGAAAACTGGTACTAGAACACATAAAACAATGAGAGAGCGAGCAAGTGCGGACTTGTAGGACAGACAATAAGGCCCGTGCAAGTCAAAGCCATGCAAGCTGGGATGGGCGGGAGAGCCCTCATGAAAAACTTAATCAACACACTTTGAGGAAGTCCCTTCCCCTCTTGGATTGGATAATCTCTAAAACCCTTGGATCTGTGACAGACAGCATCCCTGGAGCCTTGGGGCAGCCGGGAATGTACCCACTTTGGGCAGGTGAGGGATACACATTAAGCCCACTGTAATCTCTCCTCTAGCTAAAAAACAAACCAAGCCAGAGGATTATGTTAGCCCTGCCTTTAACTGCCTTGCCATTAGGGAGGTAGGAGGTGGCAATGAAACGTCCCAGAAGGTGTGAATGACATGCCAGCAAGGTATTTTGGAAAGAGTACTGGACTGGGAATCAAAGCACCTGTACCCTTCACCTGCCCCTTGGCATGAGTTTCTTTATCTGTAATAACACAGGGTCTTCGCCCTTCTTCATGCCTCCCTCACACCAAATTACCCTGTGTTTATTTATTTATATGCAGACATGCTGTTTCCTCCAATAGAATATAAGCACTTTGAGGCACGGCCTCTTTCATTTTTGTCTATATCCCAAGTGCCTGACATGTAGCAAGACCTTAATAAAAATTCCTACTGGTTGACTGATCTCAGTAGGAGAGGGAGAGGACCAGGAGAGAACTTTGAGATGACTCTGGTTAGGAGGTTATTGTTAACACTTCAGCCATCAGGGCACCTTCTCCCCATTCCCACTAATGTTCAGAGTAAAAGTCAGTGGCAATCCAGTTCTGTCTCTCATTGTCCCCAAGTTCTATGCTCTCTTCAACATCCACCATTGGCTAACTGCTGACTTGGAGATGCCCTTAGGGAGCAGGTAGTCTCATGTCCTGATGGGGAGGACAGGGAAAAAAGAGTCAACTGACTCCCCAAGGCCCACACCGATGAAGCCAAGGGGAGCTGGAGAGGAATGAAACAAAACAAGTTTTAAATATCTTCCAGGATGGAAAAGATCTGGGAATAAAAATACAGGCAGATCCCTGAAAAGGCACCAGATGTACCTTGGCAGTGGGCTCTTTGTCGCCAAAGAAGAGCCTAGATTAGATCATAAAATTTAGAGATGGAAGGGACTTTGAAATCATCTAATCCAATGCCCTCATTTTATAGGGGTGGGGCTGGGGAGAAGTGAGGTCTGGAGAGGGGATGAATCTGCAGGAGGACACAGACATAAGCGGCTGGTGCCAGAGCCCAGGCAAGCCTCCCTCCCTGCTGCACTTCCTGCCCTGTGTATAGGACCTCTCTCTAGGGACCCAGGGACATGCCCTCTCACCACCAGGGGCAGGTAGAGAACATGCGCCCACAGACCAAAGTTCATCTGGTTTGGAGTCGAAGGTCCTCTAGCCATCAACTAGTCTAGCCGCCTCATTTTGTACATAAGTGCACCCGAGTTTCCTGATTCCAAGACATTCTTTAAGCCCTTGTGGCTGCCTGGTGTTCAGATGACCAGATGGCTGGGCCTGGTACACATTTCTCCACAGAAACAATGGGAAACTCTATCCTCTGCAACATCCTAGGTTAAGAAGTCTTCTGGGGGACAGCTGTGAGACATCACTACCACTTGTAACACTGTCTCTGTAAGAAGATACGTTTCAAGTTCTCTCCCTTGCTGGGGAAAGAGGTGGTTTTCAGCCCGAGCAGAATTTCCACTGACCTCGGTACTGCCTAGAATGGAAGCCCACACTGCCGGCCCTGCTATTAGAGAAGACCAGTGATCTTTTGGGTTTATAAAGCACTTGCTTCACAATAACCTTCTGAGGGACATAAGGAAAACAAAATGATTCCCATTTTACAGTTAAGGAAATGGAGTCTCACTGAGATCAAATGGCGTGCCCAAGGTTTCTCCGGGGAAGGCTGGGAATTCAGAAACATGAAGCATCTGAGCTGGGATCGGAACCCAGATGCTCTGATTCCTAAGCCCCTCCACTGGGGCTGCTCTTTACCACTCCCCTGTAAAGCTGTGAAGATGAGCAGTCATAGTGCACATTTCCATAGTCCTTCAGTGTTTACAAACCACTTTTTCTGTCACAAGGGCCCTGAGAAGTTGAGAATGCCAAATATGGTCATTGTGATGTCCCCGTTCCCACAGATTCCAATCCCTCTCTCAGCCTCCCCCTCCCAGGCTCTTTTCTGTCAAATGAACACTACTGGGGGCTCAGGACAATGCCATTCTGATAGAATATCTATTAGTTTTCTTTTTGTCCCTCAAAAGCCCAGATTGCTGCACGGGAGGGCAGCAGGACCTAGAGCCAGACGGGCAGAGCGTGCCAGGCTCCACCAGCCTCAGCAGTCACTGAAAAGCACAAGCCACAATCATCCTGTGTCACATCTGGGACCCGCCAACAGCACACTCCTCTCTAAATCAACTCAGTGCAGTTGAGTCCTCAAACCAGGCCTCCGCCCACACTTCAATCACCACTCTGTCCATATTCCACATGCAAGGCCTAGATCTCCCTGACTCTCCTAATGCATCGTGAGTCCATGGAGTAATTATCAGAGAATCAGAGGCAGCTGCTAACATCTCTAGCCTTCCAACTCAGAATCCCCAGAGTCCGACAATCATCTGCCTCTCACAGATGAGGACCCAAGAGGCTCTTCCCAGGGCCTCCTGGTTGGGGAGAAGCTGAGACTTCTAGGCCTTTGAGTCCCAAAGGCAGGGCTGTTCTAAAAGGGCCACAGCCCCCATCTAGGGAGTGGTTGTAGCAATGAAAGTACTTCTTAGCAGGAAGGGCAAAGGGATGAGGCCCCTCTCAAGACCAGGCCCTAGGCAGGACTTGCCTTCTCTTGCACAGGAAGGCTCCCAACCCACAACACCCTTTTGTCTCCTCATCTGGGCAGCTCACCACCTCCCTGAGTCTCATTGTTCTCATATGTAAAATGGGCACGGCAGTACCCACACCACAGAGCTTCTGTTGTACTGAGAGGATTGTATTTGTAAACCTTACAGTGCTAGAGAAATCAGTTACAGTGCTAAGCCTCCTGATGTGGGGAAAGGAGACGTCCCAGAGTCACACAACCTGCAGATACACCCCTTACACCCTATCCATCATTCAGCTTCTACTTGAAGACCTACAGGGATAGGGAGCCCCACATCCCCATGACAGCTCTGGAAGTTTTCCATATATTGAGCTAAAATCTGCCTCTGCAGTACTCCCTGACTCCCAGGTCTGTTCTCCAGGGCTAAACAGAATAAATCTCATCTTTCTTTTGAGAAGCAGCTTAGCACAGTGGATAGAATCAGGTGGTCAGGTAAGACCTGGCCTCAAATTCCTCTGACGCTTATAAGCTGGGTAATCATGGGCAAGTCATTTAACTCTTTTAGGCCTCAGTTTCCTCATCTATAAAATGGGGATTATAAATGCCTGCTCCATTTCAAGGGCTGTTGTGGGCTCAAAGAATGGCTGTAAAGCACTCTGCCACCATCTGTGTGATACAAATGCCAGCTGATATCACTATACCCCACAAAAGCCCTTCATCTTCCTTAAGTCTGCCCCACCCCAATCATTCTCTTTGCCAGAGTAAACATGTGCAGTCCCTTCCACTGGTCTTTTCCTGGCTCTTTAGACCTCTTACCATCCCATCAGCAAAGTCCTTCCTATAATGTGGCGCCTAGAACTGAACGCAGTACCCCAAATGTAGAGGGCAGCATCCCCACCACTACCCTCCCTCTGGCTATCCTCAATGATGTCTAAGATACTTTAACACTCATTTCACTGAAGTAGGGACTCCCACTTCTGATGCACAGATCAGACTGAATTGTCTGCCCCTTTTCAATGTCCGTGTCCTCCCAAAAATCCTCCAGATAACCTCCATTGGGGCCTTCAGCATTCTGAGAAGACCCACTTTCCCCCTGCTCCTATCCTAGCCTTGCTTCCTAACTGGCTCACCTCAGGCATCTTTCCCACCGTTTCTTGTGTACAAGTCCCGGCTGGGGACCGGCTGCAGTCTCCTTACTCTTAATCTATCGTCTCTCCTTTGCCCGCGGGACCCTGCAAGTCTTCTTTAGAGTCTGTGGTACCATCCCATGATGCAGAGTCATTTTCATCAGGAAAAATATTATTGTTAAGCAAATGGGTTTTTGTGCCAGGGAATGGCTTGGCTGCCATGCCATACTGGATCTTACTGAGAGGGTAGCCCACTAGGTCCTCCTGATCTTTTTCAGATGCTTTTGATCCATCTGGTGTCGGCAGCCTACTTATCACCTATTGTTGGGAACTTGAAAGGAAAGTGATGTGTCCACCTTCCCTCCCTATGACTTCTTACCTGGGGGACTTACTCTCCCACTACTCTGCTGCCGCTGGAGGAAATCCTTATAGCAGACCGAGCACATGCCGTTGGTTCGAGGGTTTCCATAGAAGCCACAGCCTGTGGTGCATAGCAGGGGTACCTGCGTCTGGTTGGTCTCCTGGGCCATGGCTGTGCTGAGCTCAGCTCCTGACATCAGACAACAAGGCAGATTGAGTCCTTTCACTGAGATGGGGAAGGAGTGCAGAAGGAGAATAGCTTGCATTCTTTAAAGTTTAAAAAACATTTTAAAAATTTCTTTTTTATTATGAAATTAACAATCAACAAACATGAATATACAAAGAATAAAAAGGAAAGGTTATATATGACACTGAATTTCTGTTACATAAATTTTAAAGTTTATAATTACATTTATAAAGCATTTTCCTCACAGTAATCTTGAGAGGTAGACAAGGCAAGTGTTACTATCCCCCTTTTATAGATGAGGAAAATGGAGGACAGGAGGGTGATTCCCAGTGGTCACAGAGCCCAGTAAGCATTAGTGCTGGGACTAAAAATCCAGATCTTTCTGGAGTAGCATTTCTTGGACTATACTATTCAACCCACAAAGGAAACCTTGCTGGGATGAGTGGAAGGAAGGTACATTTCTGCATCAGTTTTCCAGGGTCAAGACTAATCACTGCATTAATTCTTCTTGGGGTGTCTATGTGGTTTCCCTTTATGCTGCTATGGTCACTGTACCTTGATCCCTCTCTGGTCTGCATCAGCTCCCCTCCCACCTCCACCCCTACCTCATTTTACAATGAAGGTAACTGAGACTGGAAAAGGGAAGTGACTTGTCCAAAGTCACACAGGCAGGAAGCAGCAGAGCTGCGATTTCAGTTTGAGGGATTCTGACTCCAAACCCAGTGCTCTTTGTACAGTGTCTTTTTTAAATTTCTCCAGAGCTGACAGTTCAGGTCTCCTTGATGAAACCTCAGCACAGACTGCCTGGTAATGTTTTGTTTTGTTTTGGTTTGGTTTTGCTTAGGCAATGGAGTTAAGTGACTTGCCCAGGGTCACACAGCTAGTGTCAAGTGTCTGAGAGATTTGAACTCAGGTCCTCCTGAATCCAGGGCCGGTGCTCTATCCACTGTGCCAGCTAGCTGCCCCAGTAACGTTACTTTTTGAGGTAATGTTTAGGTCTCATTTTTTTGTTTCCCTCAGGACCTAACACAGGATTGTGAATATAGGAAGTGCTTAATAAACTCCTGTTCCCAAGCTGGACACATTGCAAGGATGAAGCTGAACTCTCCTGTCACTGTTGGGCCTGAGGTTGGAGATTTTTATGTCTTCTATGATGGTTAGTCCCTGGGTCTCTGAGCCTGTCCTTTCTTCACAGTCCCAGGTGACCCTGCAATGATTCAACCCAGCATCCCCATCCTCCTCCACGCCCAAGCTCTCCAAGAGTCTGGGTGCACAAAAATCAGGGCTGCAGCTGTGGGGCACTCAATGTACCCAAGACATTCCTGAAACTGTCAAGGGACTCACTCAGGCTGAACCAGGGCCTGGGTGAATGTTTCCCAAGGGGAGTCCTGAACAATGTTTATACTGCTGGGCACCTGGAACTTCACAAGAATCTCCTAAGGCTCTTTCTACCCTCCTCCCCTGGTTCCAGGTGACCAGATTCAGGCCCCTAAAACCGAGCTGACTGTGCTCCTGCCCTGGTCAGCATAATGGATTGAAATACCGCTGGATCTGGAACTAGAAGGCCTGGTTCAGGCCTAGGTCTCCTACTTACCATTTGTGTAAGTTTTGGCAAGTCAGTTTCCCTTTCTGGGCCTCAGTTTCCCCACCTAGCTCTAAAGGGTTATATTGCTGTGGCTCCCTACTGCCCACAACATCTCTAAGATTGAAGGCTATCCACAATCACTGTAGACATCATATGATGTAGAGTTACAAGTACAAGCTCATCTGGTCACACTAAGACTCAGTATGAGACCCAGGCAAGTATTTACCCAAGATTCTAAGTGGCAGATCCAGGACCTGAGCCAAGGACCTCTGCCTCCACCGTCGTGTGCCTTGCTGAGCCCGCCTTTCTCTTTCCCACCCCCTCTGCTCTTGGTCAGGTAACCCGAGCTGCAGCCAGGCGTCCCTCACACACTAGGCCCCTCTCACCACCTTTGCTCAGATGCTCCTGAGGGGGCGCCTTCCTCCTTGCACTTCACCTGCCTAACTCTGCCCTGACTGAAATCTCCAGCTCCAGCCTCGGCCCCTCTGTGACGCCCTGTCTGTCACCTCAGCTCCCAGGCATCTCCTTCTCCTGAGGCTCCAAAGCACTCATGCTCTCTCCCTCATCTGACCCTTGGCAAATAGCACCTTTTGTGGCATGAGCTCCTGCTGCCCTCTGCCACGGCCTGATGAGTGGACGGTGCTCTGCACTGGGGAGTCTGAAGAAACCTGGATTCAAATCCTGCCTCCTATATTTATTAGCGGTCTGACCACAGGCAAGCCACTTGAGCTCTCTAAGCCTCAGTTTCCTCATCTGTGAAATGGAGATCATCATAGTGTTCGCCTTACAGGATTGTGGGGAGGATCACTCTGTAAACCCTACGATGAGACATAAGCATTAGCTATTTCTTTGATGGTGGAGACTATCTTGTTTCCCTGTATTTGTACACCTATCACTTTAGTGCCGTAGCTGGCACATAGCAGGGGCTTAACGAAAGCTTGCTCTATTGAAGTTTTCAAAGCACTCAGCACATAGCAGGCACTCGATAAATGCTTCCTTCCCTCCCCTGTTGAAGACAAATGAGAACAGGGACCTCTGAATCCCCTCCCAGTGTCTAGCCCAGGGCTGGGCCCACAGTAGAGACTCAGTAAGTTCAGTGATAGATTAACAGAAGTCTAAGAACAGGGTAATACATTTTTTGGTACACTCCTGTGATTTCACTGGTACAGTTTTCCCCGTGAGGAAACTCCCTCCACCAATGCAGACTAACAATTGCTCAGCAGCTTAGGACAATTGCATGGGGCCTGCTGAAAAGCAAAAGGAGTTGCCTGGGATTATACAAGGCTTTTTTTTTTTTTTTGCTTAGGCAATTGGGGTTAAGTGACTTGCCCAGGGTCACACAGCTAGTAAGTGTCAAGCGTCTGAGGTTGGATTTGAACTCAGGTCCTCCTGACTCCAAGGCCAGAGCTCTATCCACGGCACCACCTAGCTGCCCCCAGGATTATACACTCCCAAGGTGGGGCTTGAACTGACTCCATTACTTTATGTTGCCTCTCTGTAACAGGGAGGTAGAGGGGTAGAAAGTGGAAGAGAAAAAAGTAGCAGGAATAGTAGTATACAAGGAAAGAGCATGAGATTTGAGGTGGAAGATCTCCTGGCTGTGCCACTAATTAGCCGTGTGACCTTGGGCAAGTCTCTTCCCCTCTCTGAGCCTCATTTTGAAGTAGAGGGCTAGATGTGATGATCTCAAAGCTAACTTCCATTTTCTAAAATGGTTCAAATCATATTCTCAGAGCTACAAGAGCCCTTAAAGATTCACAAAAGCAACACTCTGATTTTATCAATGACAAAAGTGAGCTCCAGAAAGCAAGTGATTTACCCAAAGTCACATCAAGCACTTATTTATGACAAGAAACTCCAGAGAATCACTAATACTTCCTTTTGGGAAGCTCAGTGCTTTTAAGCTTGGGAGGCAAACTCCCCAAGGAGCACTAGCCCTTTTCCTGACAAAATCAAAGAGCTGGTACCCAAATCTCAGACCTCTCTCCCCACCCTGTTCCTGTCTCCTTTCCCAGCCTCTTCCCGCAAGGGAGCATCCTTTGCTTTCAAGGACAATAGTTATCTGGACAGGCAGTGTGTCTAACTGACTTTCAAAAAACTTATTTACCCTTTCTCTAGCTTCTTGCCTTGAATGCAAACTACTTGGGAGGCCAGAAGAGATGCCTCCTGGGGTCTGGGAAATTCCATCACCTTGCCCCTATCTCCAATTTTCTTATGTGTATATTAAAAATACCGTGCTGTTGTTCAGTCCGACTCTTTGTGACCCCATCTGGGGTTTTCTTAGCAAAAATACTGCAGTGGTTAGCATTTCCTTCTCTAGCTCATTTTACAGATGAGGAAACTGAGGCAAACAGGGTTAAGTGACTTGCCCAGGGTCACACAGCTAGTAAGTATGTGAGGTCAGATTTGAACTCAGGAAGAGGGGTGAGTCTTCCTAACTCCAGGCCTAGCACTCTATCTACTGGCCACCTGGCTGTGCCCCTCCCCCCAAAAATTGTACCCCGTAGTTATATGTATATGGGTCTTATTTTCATACAAGACTGTGAGGTCTATGGGGATAGGAATCCTGTATTATCCAAACTTTGTCAAGCAACCCAGCACAGAGCTCTGCACACAGAAGGTGCTTAATAAATGCCCTAAGAAAGAACGAAGCTACAGCACTGGGCAGTAGCAGAAAGAACACTAGATTGTTGGTCAAAAGGCCTGGGTTCGCGTGCTGGGTCACTCGATGACCTTGGGTGAGTCCCTTTACTTTTCCGAGCCTCAGTTTCCCTGACTGGCCTAGATGACCCCTTCTAGCTCTGAATCCTGGCCAAAGCTCAGCTCACCAGAAACTTTGGGTTTGCCTCCCTGTCCATCACGCCCGCCCCCGAGACCCAGCCACCAATCCCGCCCGCCCCTCGCCATCCCGCCGACCAATAGGCAGTGCGTTCTTCAGCGAGGGGCGGGATTTGGTCCCGGGAGGCCCTGGGCCCAGCTGCGCGGCCTGCGGGGTAAGGCGAGGCCGGGGATGCGCGGCCTAGTTTAGGCTCCGCCGCTCAGTGGCGCGGCGCGACCCGGCCTGGCCTGGCGGCGTGACCCGACCAGCGCCTGGGCGGACGAGTGGGTCGGTGGCCGCGGCCTCGGGGCACGGGGCGCGGGCGGGCGCCCCCCTCGAGCGGCCCCGCCGCGCTCACTCACCTGTCGCGGCCCCGGGAGGCCGCCCGGACCCGGCCCGGCGGCAGCGAGGGCGGGCTCGCGGCCTCCCGCCCGAGGGAGGCGGCAGAGCGGGGCGGCCCGGGGAGGGAGGCCGGCCGGCCGGCCGGGGCGGAGGGCTGGCGGGGCCGCTTGTCGGCCGCTCACACGCGCCCAGGCGGCCCGGCCCCGCGGCGGGTACCCAACATGGCCGCCGAGCGCCGCCCGAACCCGCGGCTTCCCCTCCCCCTCCCCTTTCCCCTCTGCCCCCCCGTCCCCTCCCTTCCCCTTCCCCTCTTCCTTGCCCCTCCCCTCCCCCTCCTTCTGCCCCTCCCCAGCCTTCTTCCCCTCCCCTCTTCCTCGCCCCCTCCCCAGCCTTCTTTCCCTCCCCTTCCTTCCCCCTGTTCCCCCTCCCCTCTTCCTTGCCCCCTTCCCCTCCCCTTCCTTCTGCCCCTTCCCAGCTATCTTCCCCTCCCCTCCCGTCCCCCTGTTCTTTCTTCCTCCTTTCCATTTTTGCCTCTTCTGCCCCCCTCTCCCTTTTCCCCTCCTCTTCTCCCACCACCTCTCCCCTTCTCTTCTCTTCCCACTTCTCTTCCCCACTCCTCACCATTCCTATTCTCCCATCCCCCCCTCCTCCCTCTTCTCCTCTCCATTTCCTGTCCCTTCCCTATCTTCCCTTCACCTCCTCCCTCTTTCTTTTCCCTTCCTCACTTCTCTCCTTCCCCCTTCTCCCCTCCCCTCTTTTCTCTTGGCCTCTCTTCCTCCAGTCCTCCCCCGTCTCTTCAAGCAGCTTACATTCTAAAATGGAGGAGACATGCAATTAACCAGGCACATACAGGATGCATTATGGTGCAGCCAGGTGGTGGGTGGATAAAGCATTGGGCATAGTTGTGAAGCACTGGCACAGTGCCTCACCCGTAGCTATTCTCATCATCCTTATTATTAATACTATAGTTATTGTAATTACTATTATCATCACCTCCTGAAGAAGGTGAAGTTTGAGCACAGGCTTGCAGGAAGCCAAGGGGCAGAGGTGTGGGGGGGGAGGGGTGCACAAGGCATGGCCCTAGCATTGGAGGGGCCAGGAGGCTGGAGATGGAGTGGGGTGTGTGAGGAACAGCAGGGAAGGCAGTGTATGAGGATCTTAGAGCCCAGACTAGAAAGGCTGTGAAGGGCCCCCTTGAACAGGATGGTTGGACACCTCAACACTTAGAGAAATTGAGAGGCAAAGATTCCCTCCCTCCCCCTAGGAGAAAGTAGGGAAATGGAGACAGACACCCATTACTAAGGGATTAAAGGGCACAAACTAGGAAATACAGATGCCCTCTCACAGGAGGGGAAATTAGGAATTGCATTGTCCTACCTTAAGAGAGAAATTTGGGGAGGGGGACACAGACTCCTCTTTGATGGGTGAAATTCAAGGAACCAGACCCTTTATTCATGGATCTGTGGTCTCATTGTCATCCTAGTACAGATCACAACCCAACCATGCCTGCCTAATCTGTATGACTCATCCATGAGGGAAGGAGAGGAAGAGAATAAGCATTACACAGCACCTACTGTGTGCCAGGACAAATATCTCATTTAATCCCTCAACAATCCTGGGAGGCAAAACAGAGGTTAAATGACTTAGGGTCACACAGTTAAGTGTCTGAGGTTGGAGTTGAACTGGCGTGTTTTTTGCCTCCAGGTCCAATTCTCTGTCCACAGCTCCACCTAGCTGCCTCTTAATTATGGCACAAGGGGTCCATCCAGTATGCTAGGGCCCTTCCTCACTTTCTCTTGACATCCCGTGGATACCAGTGAAGCTTTACCCCTTGCCCTGGCTTCATGATCAACCCCACCTTTATCATTTATGCATTTCTGTTGACAACACCCATTATACACATTTCTCCTTAATTCCTTGTAATGTGTTGTAGTCTGCTTACAGTCACCTTGCACCTCTCCATTACTGGTCAGGAGATCCTCAGTCTCAGTTCTTTGGAGACTAGAGTGTTCCATGGCCACAGCACACCAAAAGAACGTTGATGTTAAAAAGGAAGGCAAGGGAGGCCATTGCAATTCTTTGATGGACCTATATTTCCAGGAGAAACTTGGGGCCCACTAAAAAAGTTTTGCAGTTTCCCCAAAGTTACCCAACCTATTTTCTACTTGTTTACTCCTGGGCCCAACTCACTGTCCGTTTGCAGTGTTTGTCCAAGATATATAGGGTATCCCAAAAGTCCTAGTATAGTTTTAAGCTACTACACTCTGTATACTGCTTAGCATAATCTGTATGATGGGCATTCTTCATCCATTTGGTTTTTCCCATGTGGTTAGTTAGGTCAGATTTTGGTGTCAGGTTCTGGATCTTCTCCAGCACTAGTCCAGGATTTGATACAATCAACACAATACCTTCTGTCATATAATCTACAGCAGTGATGTCAAACTCAAATAGATATGGGGGTCACTGTTATTGGTACAATTACATAGAGCTAAGTGGCTCAGTGGATAGAGTGCTGGACCTGCAGTCAGGAAGACCTGAGTTCAAATCCAGCCTTAGATACTTACCTAGCTGTATGACTCTGGGCAAGTCATTTAACCTCTGAATGCCTCAATTTCTCCATCTGTAAAATGGGAATAATAATAGCACCTACCTCCCAGGGTAATTAGGAGGCTGCTAGGTGGTTCAGTGGATAGAGTTCTTGGCCTGGAGTTAGGAAGACCTGAGTTCAAATACGACCAAGCCGTGTGGCCCTGGGCAAGTCACTTAACCTCTGTTAGCCTTAATCCACTGGAGAAGGAATGGTAAACCACTCCAATATCTTAGCCAAGAAAATCCCATGGACAGTATTAATGTGCCGTGGTCCATAGAGTTACAAAGAGTCAGACAGGATTGAACAATAATATAGGTACAAGAAGATTGCTGCAGGCTGCATGTTGACTTAGTTTTAAAATGTAACGTTATCCATGTTTCTTCGTGTTTTTATTTATTTTACGAAATATTTCCCAGTTATGTTTTGGGCTACACTGGGGAATGTTGTGAACTACACGCTATGTTTGACACTTGATCTCATTCTGGTTCTCAAGAAGTCCATGGATAATAGATTTCAAGGGGTCCATGCACTTGGATGGGGAAAAAAACGACCTCTTTATTTTCACTGACTGAAATTTAGCATTTCCTTCAACTATGAATATAGGCAATAACCTTATTCTGCGAAGGGGTCTGTAGGCTTCTCCAGACTGCCCAAGAAGGCCCAGGACACATGAAAAAGGTTAAGAATCCCCGATTTATGGGGAATCCTTTGAACTTTGTGCTGGATTTCCTCTCTGATGGTGGTAAATATCTTTGGCAAGCTTACACTTCTCTGTTTAATTGCTTGCTATTAATAATGAGAGGGTCATTGAAAAAGGTTCTCTCTTTCAAGGAGTCTTGTAGAATTTTGACATATGCAAAGGAGACGCCTTGTTAGTGGCCTTTAAGATTGCATTTTGTTTTATAAAATCAAATGTGTTTTGTTTTTGTGTTTTTTTTTTCTTTTTAGGCAGTGGGGGTTAAGTGACTTGCCCAGGTCACACAGCTAGTAAGTGTCAAGCGTTTGGTCTGAGGCTGGATTTGAGCTCAGGTTCTCCTGACTTCAGGGCCAGTGCTCTATCCACTGCACCACTTAGCTGCCCCTTAAATATGTTTTTATAGTCAACAAACAAACACAGAAGACTGTAATATAATCTGTATTTTTTAAAAGGTATTTACTTGTTTTGACATGCAGTTATTATCTTTCCCTTCCATTGTCTCCTTCCTTCCATTGAAAAATTAAAAAAAAATTCATAACAAATATGCATAGTCCATCAACACAGAGTCCCACACAGGCTATGTCCAAAAATACACGTCTTATCCTGCATTTTTAAGTCCATTGCCTCTCTGCCAGAATGGTAGAATGCATAATTAGTGTCATTCCTCTTTCCACCTTCAGTTTCCCAATTTTTTGGCATCAAGAATTTGTTTAAGTTAGTTGGAATTGTCTTGTTTCTGCATAGCACATTTTTCTTTTTTATTCTTTTATCTTTGCACTAATTTTTATATTCTAGCAAATCAGTGTTGTGATTGTTCAGGAATGACTCACGTAAGTAATGCCTTATTTCCTGTATGTTAAGATAGAATCAGTGTCCATTTTTTGTGACATTATTTGGTGCTTAATCATATTTAGAGCCTTTGGATTCTTGAATAAAGCATTCATGATATATTATTCAATTCAACAGGCATTTATTAAGCACTTACTGCGTGTGGGTACTCCACTGGTGTCCGGGGATCATAGGACCATAGATTTAGAACTAGGAGGGACCTTGAAGGCCGTCTGGTCCCTTTTCCTCATTTTATAGAAGATGAAACTAAAGCCCAAGAAAGGGAGGTTGACTTGCCTGAAGTCACAAAGGTGACGGGATTTGAACTCAGGCCCTCTGACTCCAGAGTTACTGCTCTTTCTACTGTATCGTTCTACCAATTCAGTCGTGTCTAACTCTGTGTGATCCCATGGACAGTTTTCTTGGCAAAGATACTGGAGTGGTTGGCCATTTCCTCTTCCAGCTCATTTGACAGATGAGGAAACTGAAGGAAACAGGTTAAGTGGCTTGCCCAGGGTCACACAGCTAGTGAGGTCAGATTCGAACTCAAGTCCTCCTAACTGCAGGGCTCAAGCTCTATCCACTGCCCACCTAGCTGCCTGCCTTCCCCCATCCCCCCGTTGAGGTCACCGTGCCTCTTGAGGTCT